ATATGATCCACAAGGTCCACACACCACACACACCAAGGTTAAAGCAAACAGAAGAAATTTATTTTTACACTGGCCAAACCATTACCGGTATAGGAGCACAGTTTTAGCCAATCTTTTATCAAGCCTATCTAGTATAGTTACATTCAAATGTAACATTTAAATTATTATGATGGAGTAAAAAACCTTTACATCTCCATACTTACTATATAAAATTCACCTATCTAAATAACAAATTATTTAAAAAAATTATGTACTTTTGCAGGAAAAGAATGTGCAAAAGTAGTTATATAAGAATATTAAGACACATTCTGAAAGTTATTTAATATTCATAAAGTTCTTATAAAGACCTAATTCAATAAACAAAATCAAATGACCACATTTACCACTAACAAATAAATCTAGGTAATACTCTCAATTATCATTAGATTCTCTCAATCCAGTCTACTGGGCAACATTACATCTCTTTGCTTTAGAAAATCCATGAATCCATGATTGTCTAGAATTTTCTCAGAGCGTGTCACTAGTTGTCTAGTCCATCTTACCCACCTCTCCCACATGGAACTACACAAAGTAATTGTATGATTCACGCAACATAAAAAGGACAACCTGAACCTTAGGAAATCCTACTCTTACCTTTTATTTGAATTGTTCTCAACTCCAGATTGAAGGGTGCAGGATTGATTTATTTTATAACATATCAGACATACAGTAATCAGGACAGTAGCGTAACAATAGCCATAGCAGCCCACATGACTGCTAAGGGGCCTGAGCTAGGAGGAGACCCCCATTAGAGGCCTGGTTAGGAAAACTAAACTGTGAGGTTTCCAGTATAGAAGGGCTGAAATTAGACCTCAGGATCTTCTAGTCACAGATCCCCCCTCTATGCAATAGAAGCATTTGCTTATCTATCTTAGCAATGTAGATTGCAATCTGAACTTCTTCTACATACTGAAATTAACCCTGTATGTTGAATGCAGCCACAAGTCCCAGACTTTCTGTTAAAACTTCATAGAAAGGCTGAGGTTTGTGGTTCTACAATTAAGTTTAATGAAGCTAGAGTTTGTAGAAGTTTGTATTAGGGTTAAAGGGTAAGTGTGTATTACTAATTTTATCATTATGGTTATTAATATTAGTGCTACTATATCTTTTATCACCAGCACTGCTGCCTGTTAGTGTACTGATTATACTGACAACTCTCCTGCTGCCTGCCCTTGATAAATAATTTATGTTAAGATCAATAACACATAGGGGTTGATTTACTAACCTTATAAACACACCACGAACATGTATACACCTCTGTAGTGTGTTCCCTCCCAGCATGATCTATGGGTGGAATCTAAACACCTTTGTAGTGTGTACATACCCAGCAGGTGTGTTGTGCAAAGCCCTGCCCTGAATTGCAAGGTGATGTTGTGTAAATTAGCTCTACATTGTGTTGCTTGCGTTGATGAATGCAGGAATGTAAATGCATGAGCTAACCATTTTTGTCTAAACTGTGAAGCAGCATTATATATGCATCATGTGCATGATTTTTCCATATATGGCATTAGTGGAAATATGCTTATAGAGACTTTTTGGTTGATAAATACGCTTTGCTGTGTAAAAATCACACGCACCTGGTGCATGCGTGTGTTTAGGTTAGTAAATCACCCCCATATTGTCACAGTTGACTTTGCTATGGGGAGGTCCCATGATTTGTAGTTAGACCCCGTCAATTCCATAATCTTGTGTATATTATGGACTGTCTTCTGTCTTGTGGCATTATTGAGGACTAGAATGTCAACAATATGCATGCTATGATTCAGTGGCTAAAAAAATCTGTACCCTTGTGGTTTTTTAAACCCCCAAGTGTTATTAGTCTCATGTACTTATGCTTGGTCAGATTCAGGTACAAAAAACAAGCTTCATTCATATCCCAAGTCCCCTTTCAAACATCTAAGTATGTATTTCTACAGTTGAAAAGCACTATGGGATTTGAATGAAATGTTAAGTCTTTATGCAAGAAACACATTTGGCATTTACATACATAAGACTGAGCAGTAGCAGGAGACTTTCAGAGGTTTGGTGCTCCACCCTCTCTATCTTTTACTGACAAGTGCAGGTGGCCTACTGAACCCATTTGTCATTTGGCTCCGAAATAACAGTTTGTCATGAATGAGGAATTCCCAGTAAGTGTAGGTCGTTAGCTTCTGTTAGGTACCCGCACTTTGAACAGACCTTTCATCAGTAGAGGGCAGAAAAAGTGTATCATGGGGCTTTGTATCTTAAAAGAAGACCAGTTATATTTGACGTTTATTTAGTGGTTCTTTATTTTAATATACATTTTAAATAGATCTGAAGTCAAGGACGGAAAACAAAACATAAACTAGTTTACTTAAACCTTTTTGTTGATGTTTCCCATTTTTCTCACATAGTAAATGGCTCATGAGGGGCTTAGGTCCTTTAAATTAAAAAAGGTGGTAGTCCTGATTGCGTATGTCACACAATATTTGCGTAAATGTTTAATCTATTTCACACAATATAATCTACAAATCTTTCATTAAATATAAAATATAAGAAATAATTGAGTTTATACATATTAAATCTGTCAAGCCTCAGACTCTAGTGTGCTTGCAAAACAGCAAGTATAGCATTCAATATTTTGAATGGACAGTTTACTAAACTTTTTTTACAGTTGAAACCTAACTAATAACCCTAGAATTATTCCATCCCTGGCTTGCATGGAGGTACCTATTATGTGTGGCATTGTCTTAATTGTATGCATGTATGTACAGGTATGTATGTATGTATGTATGTATGTCTTTATGTTATGTTTTTTTTTTTCAATTTTATTATATTTTTACATTTTACTTTAATTATATTATAACCGAGGCAAGGGGGCTGACATAGTGACAGAGTGGCAAGTACGCTTTTTAGTTTATATGTACTGTATGTGTATCAGTTGTATTTAAATTCTTTATGAAGTTCAATATTAAAGGGAAAGTATAGCATTTTTGAAGTGAGCATGACAGAGAGACTCTCATAAAGGTGTAACACCCTGAGACACATCAGTGGTCACAGGAAACTTGTCAAAGTTCATCCACTTAAAGAGTCCAAGCTTTCCCTTTTTTAATTCCCATCCCACTGAACTTCCCTTAGGCCTTCCAAAAGAGAGTAGAATACTATTTTGAAACAACAAGGGGAGTAAGGACTTACGCTATAAATAGATTATAATATGTGATCTATATCAGTCTCCATGGTTTCCGTAAACTAATTCAAAAAAGAAGGTTCCCCAAACAAAGAAATCCCTATATTGGAGCTGATCAGGTAAACAGGTGACACAAAATGGTAATGATGTATAAAAAAAGATATATTTAATGACAATTAAAGAAAAATACACATAGGATCCAATATAACAAGACATCTAAAAACAAGTAAAAAGACATCCCCTTGAAATTCCACTTATAGTAATACGAGTGATAATCTAGAGACCACCTCAGTGGTAAATAGTCACTAATATATACACATTGATGTGTTTTAAAGACGGATACAATGTATCAGAGCGTACTCACAACCTGTGTGGTTTGCAATGAGGGACAGTCCTTGTAGGGTCCCCTGTTTAAACGTGGATGGAGTAAATTCTTTGAGGTGTATCTTAGTGTGGGATTGTGACTCCAGATAGTAGTTATCCTTGTTTGTCTGGAGGCTCCGATGAGCGTGTCACTCCCTGCTCAATTGAGCTCACACTGATCAGCGGGTGTCGATCACTTCTAATCCAGAAAATAATCCGGATGTGGTTTCCAGCATGTGCGGCCGCACAGCAAAGTGAATAAAGACACACTGGGCTGAAAGGTGGATGGTAGGATGGAGCAACCTCAGCCCACAAGCTGTTCTCAATCTCGGTTCAATTTCCTACAGATTTCACTGCAGTTACGAGATAACAGCGTTTAAAGGGTTTTCGTTCCGTCCTGTCCTGTCAATCGACAATGAGAAAGTTGTTTCCTTCACTCGACCGTGGGTGAGGTAAAGCGGGTATCCAAGGGGAGTCTGAAACACACGCTGGCCCTTACGCGTTTCGCCCCAAACCACTGGGGCTTCCTCAGAGGGGCGTGTAGTCAGTGTCTTGCATCGGTGTGTTATATAGCTCACTAAGGAGAGCCTATTAGAATCCTGATTCGTCAATTTAACACAGCTGTGTATAAATCTAAATTGATAACAATTAATTTTTTACAAGATGCTTTAATAATAATAAACAGACACCTGTGCGGTCATAAATAAATTCCCAATGCCCTCCAATGTCAGTTAAGTATAAACAGAGACCATAAATCAACATATAAACCCAAAGATAGCCTAGCATATAGGTGGTGTTAATATCCACCATGTCTGCCAGAAAACAACGCAGTGGGAGACATGCTGGAAGGCAGCTTACAATTTATAAAGGGGTACTCCAAAGGAGAACAACCTAAAGTCAATATTGCAAACTTTTTTGATGATTATGATTGAATAGGGTCCGAAAGTATACTGGATCTTCCATAAATGGTAAAAAACAATTATCAAGTGTAGGCTAAAGTCGAACACTATCTCGTTGATGATAATAGCCAGCAGATGGAATATAAGGGTTATAGAAAAAGGGGGTTAAGTGCAAATATCCATATGCACCCAAATATATAGAGGTTGGAACAAGCCGATTCAAATATATGTATATATATA